CAGTTGAAATGTGAAAGTTGTGAGTTTGCTAAACATTGTAGAAACTCTTATTCATTGAGTAATAGTTCTTTTGATATTGTGCATACTGATGTTTGGGGGCCATATCACATCCCTTCTATGGGTGGGTACAGATATTTTTTGTTATTTGTTGATGATCATACTCGGTTTTCTTGGATTTATCTTATGCGTTCATGAGATGAGGTTCCTGCCTTGACTCAAAACTTCCACCAAATGATCCTAACCCAGTTTGCTACTAGGATCAAAGTTCTTAGATCCGATAATGCAAATGAATACTTTGCTAAGCCATTGGCATCGTACCTTCTTAATCATGGGGTTATCCACCAGAGCACTTGCCCTCATACACCTCAGCAGAATGGGTTGCAGAAAGAAAGAATAGGCATATCTTGGAGGTGGCTAGAAGTATTATGTTTACCTCCAATGTCCCCATTCGCTTCTCGGGTGATGCTATCCTCACGGCGGTATATCTTATTAATCGGGTTCCTTCCCGGGTCCTTGATATGAAACCTCCATTTTCCCTTCTATACCCCAATGAGGAGTTGTTTACTATTCCCCTGAAAACATTTGGTTGTACCTGTTTTGTTCAACTTCTCGGTCCCCATCACTCCAAGTTCGAACCCAAGGCCTCCAAATGCATCTTTCTTGGTTATGAACAAACTCAAAAGGGTTATTGCTACTATGATCCTGTCTCAAGGAAGAGGTTTGTATCAATGGATGTCACTTTCTTTGAGGAGACACCCTACTATTCTCGGGTCTCTCCTCAGGGGGAGAGTAGTGAGCGTGGGGATTTGGGTCATTTTCTTTAGGGGGAGTGCAGTGAGGGCAGGGTTAATACTTTTGGGGTTGTTCCTTTACCTATTCCATTGGGTGATGAGGGTTGCAGTAGCGAGGGTGGGCAGGGGGAGTTGAGAGTCTATCACAGGCGATGCAGGCAGGTTGATCCCGGTCATCAGCAGTTCCGGCCAGCTCTAACCTCTTATGCGGCTCCAAGTCCAGATATTATAGTCATAGGGCCCACAGAGAGTCCTTCCATTGTTGCCACTTCACCCCCTGCAGACGACCTTGACCTTCCCATTGCCATCCGTAAAGGAAAACGGCATTGCACCACATCTACAACCCACTACATCTCCCAGTTCTTATCCTATGATCGCCTATCTCCCTCCTACAGGTCCTATCTCACTTCCGTTGCTAATGTCCCTATTCCAAGAACAGTGCAAGAA